GGCTTGATCAACTATCACCTCATAGAAATCTCGAGCTCATAATCTAATTGTTAAATAGAAGCACAGTACATGTTTTCTTTTTCATTTATTCAAGCCACTTTTACCTTACAACAAAATGAAATGGTTTCCACTACCATTACTTAGTGTCAGTCATGGCTAGAGCCATGGCTGCTTGGAGGCATTTCTTCACAGGAGATTTACATGAACATATAGTGAAATTTCAATGGTGACAGGTGAACAAGGGCATATTTTAATTTATATATTAGATAAATTTATAAAGCTAATTTTATTTCTGAATCAACATTTTATTCTACAGATTGTTGTATTATGGACATCTGATGCCCCTATTGCTCACAAGAAGAGATGGCCACTAGTCGATGTTCCATTGGTGGTAGTTAGACCAGAAACTAAGGTATGAATTAACATTAGTCAAAACTAACTTATCACTACATTGACTATACACTGTATCAAGGGATGTTATCATGGTTGCCATATAATATTATCAGACTAAAGGAGGAACAGAAAGTTTGTTCATCAAGATTGTGTCTGATTTTTCTTCTTGACTTTGTTTACAGACAGCAAACAGTCGATTTGTGCCAAGAACAGTGATAGAAACCTCTGCTATTTTATCCTTGGATGAGGATATCAAACTTAATTCTGATGAGGTATGCCATACTGCTCAGTAATTATCATCTTGTTACTCCGTGTGTAAGGCTATGTACCCTGTGTTTTACTCTGCATTAGGACCAAACATGTACTGCTTGAAGCAAAACTTTGAAAGAGCAATCAAGAACTAACATCAGTGAATGCTCATACATGTAACTACTCTGCCGAGCTCAGTGACGATGAAATCTATGGGAGTAGCCATCAACTCACACTCCGTCAATATATTGTAGAAAGCACATTTGAATCTAGACAGATGAAGAAATATATTAAATTCTACCTCCAATTTAGTCCTCTAGTACTTGCACTCTAAATAATTTTATTTAACATAGAATTTTCAATTGCCTTTTCGAAAAATTGCTCAACTAACAGTTTACTTTTTATTCTATGTTTTAGATTGATTTTGCCTTTTCAGCATGGAGGCAGTTTCCTGACCGCATTGTAGGTTTTCCCGCAAGAGACCACTACTGGGACAGTGGTAAATCACAGTGGTTTTATTCATCAACATGGAGTAATTATTTCTCCATGATCCTAACAAGTGGAGCATTTTATCACAGGTAATCTTCATTTCAAATTCCTTAAATGTTCTGAGATGCAATACTCAAATCATGAGGGACTGAAATTTTCTGGAGGGGAACTCCAATGGATGTGAAAAGGCTGGGGGTCCTTATCGTGTTGCTTTTGGTAGATCACTTTCAGACAATGCCTTCAAGGTGTCATTTTAGGATGAACTCAAAGAAGTAATGAAACAAACACACAAACAAACAACAAGCAAAAAAAACACTGTCATGCTTTTTATGGTTGTCTTAACAGGGTGGAGGGGAATCTTATTTAACCTGAGTCGTTAACATCATTTTGGCCCACACTTGTTTACAAGTCTGTTTTAAAATCATGGTATCTTTAAGGGTTCAAATAAAGCTTAAGCCATGCCCAGAATGGTCTTCCTTAGGGTTTTAATTTAAAATGTTTGATGAGCATCCTTGACTTTTTCACATGGGAGTCCCTTACCCTGCAGTGAAATTGAATGCTTGTCCTTTGGGAAAAGTACAAGATTGCCGTACATGTACCTTTTGTTGTAATTTTGAATTGTTATTTAAAGTGTAACTTAATACTCATTACACTCACCCTTGATAGCCTTTTCTTGAAGAGTTTCAATTGACAGAATGAAATCTGTTCCAGCTACATGTAGACTTTTAAAGCAGTTAGATTTATTATCACTGCTGCAATATGTAACTTGATTACTAATACAAACCTGGTAACTTGTCTGCAAAGTAAAGGCTAATTTACAGGTGGACCCTGCTAATTTGAACTCAGTTAATTCAAATTCCCCCAAACCATTTCCCTTGGATATGCCCTTCAGTTATTTACTATTACACTGTAGTTATTTTGAAATCCTGCTATTTTGGACTGCTTTTCGTTCCCCTGAGAGTTTGAAATTCCGGGTTCCAACTTTATTTCATTTTATTTTATTACCTGCATAAGTCTTAATCAATTGTGATTTCATATTAATTAATCTTTTTCATTTTTTCAGATTTTACAATTTCCACTACACTCACAATCTTCCACCGAGGGTTCATCGCATGGTTGAACATTATGGCACCTGCGAGGATTTGGCCATGAACTTCCTTGTTGCAGACATCACAAGAAAACCTCCAATCAAAATCTTGCCTCAAAGATCATTTCAAGACCTGTTCAACAGGAATACAAGGTATTCAAGACTAGTACAGCTTTTTGAAATGCGACAAAGATGCATGGAGTCTTTGGTAGATATTTTTGGATATATGCCATTGGTAAAATCCCAGATCAGAATGGACCCGCTGTTGCACAAGGATCCTGTGTCAAATCTACGCAAACAGTATAGGTTACTAGAATAATTAAGTACAAGCAATAATGCAGGGTTCTTACAAAATTTTGAGAGTATGGATTAAAGTGCAACTTCTTGAACCGGGCCACTTGGAAAAGAATTAACCAATCAGAACGTTACTTGAGGACAAAGGATAGTGATCTTGTTCTCAAATAAACAAGTAACATNATGACTGAATCTCTAAGAGTGTATATAATGCAGTGGAGTCAATCTACAGTATAGTGCTTGTGTTTTCACGTCAAACAGACCATTACTTGCCGTCACGAGAAGCTACCAGTACATTGTTCTCAGTTTACATTTTGATTGGTTAGTTTTCTTCTAGGAGGACCAGCTCGAGTAGTCGCACTGTAACATCATAGGAATGCTGTGACATGCTTTCCTGATTTGCAAAATGTGGTCGTGTACTCATCATTTTGGTCTCATTAAGTTGTTATGTTCCTTGTCAATTTGATGAATAGTTTTCAAAAGTATTTGTTGGACATTAAAAGGGGCTAGGTCATGCAATTTTGATCAGTTCTAGAGTTTGTGAACTGGTTATAGAATTAACGGCTTAATACTGTAGAAAAGCAAGAGAGAAACAGAGAAAAGCTGAAAAGGGGCATGGATTGGGCAAACTTGAAAAACATTGTCCAACATTTTTCAAGTTTATCCTTATTTGTTTTGTGTCCATGATTTCATCCATTAAAGACTGATGCTAGGCCAATTTGAAGTTTAGAGGTCAACTTACAAAAACAAACAGAATTACTTTAAAATACCATGACCTAGGCCCTTTCAGGCAAAGGGTGGGGAAGGACTACACAGGAAATTATTTTGTTTGGAAAAAGGCACTAAATTTTGCTGCTTTTACTACAAAAGCACAAAACAATGTGTTTATTTGGTAGATTACAACTGTACCAACAGATTGTTGGGAATGTGTGGTAGCTGAATTTTGTTTTGCATACCTATGATTCTATTTCTAAATTACTTCGTAATCACACTTTGTTGTGATACCCATTTAAAATTTGAGAACTTAATGTCCCTCAAGTGCTGATCGGTGATTAAAATTATTTATGTTGTTATGAGTCTCAATGTGAAATAGACCAATTTCGATATATTAAAATTTTGCCTAAAACAGTAGACCTCAGCACGAGGCTCCAGGGAATAAGTACAGAGTTTGTGGGGTTTATTCCCTGAAGCCTCGTGCTGAGGTCCATTGTTTTAGGCTGAATTTTAATATATCGAAATTGGGCTATTATGTAACCATATTTACTCAAACTTGTGTATACTGTGTTCAATTTCACATTTTTTGAAATAAATGAAATCATAACATCCCAAATTTCCACCATAACTCAAATTTTCAAATGAATCAAGTGCATCATTGTCTGCAAAGAATGCAACTTGATGAAAGAGCATTTCAATTCATATTTATTTCTTGACTAGAATGTTCAATAAATTGACGTGTTTCATTGGTGCTAGCCACATAGAACAATAGGTCATGTTACTTTTTTGTAAAACTTGACCTTTATAAGAAGTTGTGATTTTGAACAGCACAACAACATTGTAATTAAGGGTACCCTACTTTATCATTCATGTATATTAATGTTCATAGCAGAGAATGTTTATTATTCAAAGAAATGTTTTAAGATTATAAGGTACCAATACAATATTATTCCATTGATGCCATTATGATGCAGTGTTGAAAATGGTATTTTTGAGAGAGAAAAAAAAAGCAAATCTTATTTTTCATATCTCTTGTAATTTTGATACTTTGCCTAGTTAAATGGAATAAAACACTTAGTAGGCCTAACCAAGCAAGGTTTGTTAAATGTTTTCACAAGTAACTGTAGAAAATACCAGAAAAAGAGGAAAGTGGGAAGGGGAAATAAACAGTCTATTTAACAGATGCTATTATACACATGGTTCATGCAACTGCGACCAAACCTGTAGTAATAGTGGGATGGTTGGTTGAGGGTACGATACCAGTAGAATTAGTGGCAACATTACTTTGGACACAAATTCTGTTCCAACATACTCCCATTGTGTACAATGAAGTTAATCTTTCATGGAAATGTACAAGATGGGTTGTAAGGGGGTGGGGGAGGTGTGCAGAAAGGGGAAATAAAGGCAAGGACAGCCTGAAGATCTACATGTAGTGACATTACTTTGTACTGGCCACACTCAAAACAAAGATGGCTGTATTAATATTGCCACAATACGAGCAGGGGTTCTCCCAAGAA